GCCGTCTGCCCAGACAAACCCGCCGTTTAAGAAGGAATTGCTGAATGCATGACTTTAAATTGATTCCAAATGTTAGTTCTTGTTTGTTTATAATGTTAATAAATATTATGTTGATGTACCTCTCAAATAAGCAAGAGCGTTCGGGTGTTATTTTAAAACCAGGAACTACAAATCTGTCAAGGAACACTCACGATATTTGAGAAGTTTGCTTCCATGATTCTACAGTAATATTTATTCTGATCCGTGTTCTCTCTCGCTCACTTACCTTTACTTTTCGGCCCACATTTCTGGTTTCGCACATTGCTAGACGATTCATCATGATTTGTTTTGTTTTAAAATTTGCAAACGTGCACACGTTCCTGGTTTGAAACCTATGGAGCTGCACTACTGTATCTTAACGAATGTTTTGTAACCGAATATCTCTGCGTTGAGTTCCTAAATGAACAATGCTAAATCTGTTAAAGAGGCGAAAGACGTCAATATCATCCATGCTAGGTTTGCAAGGTTTGCAGGAAGTAGCCGGTCACTATGGCAAAGCAAAGTACCAGGGAAGAGGCCAGGAACCTATGCTGTCTTTTACTAAAACTACCATCCAAATGTTTTGATGAAGTGTTTGTTTTAAGCACTATTATTTCCCAGATTATCTTTGAATGCTGAGGAGAGAGCTCACATTAAATGTGGGACATAATGTATAATTGGGGATTTAAAATAATTATATTGTTTTAAAAGAAGTAAATCAGGTTCGGTTGCCATTGAAAGGGTGGCCATATTGGATTTTGTATACCTATTTTGATCACATTTTATTCACTTTCAACAAATACACTTTTAATTTGGCATGTACATAGGACAATTATGGATATAAAAATGTCTTCGAGGAATTTTTGATAAAAGCTTTAGTTTTCATTTTATGGCTCTTAAAAATCGGGTTCTTGCATAACTGTGAAAAAACCCTCTAAAAATGAAGCTTTTGATGGGCCGTTTGATAAAAACTACAAATGCAATCAAAAATTCCTCAAACCATTTTTAGAAATAGATGTTGTTAACATTCTGAGAAAGTTTAAAATTAAATAAGAAATAAGCAGAAAAATGCGATGATGTGCGTGAAAATAGCATTTTTAGGAAACGGCCGATAAAGGTAAGAAAAATCCCAAATACAGTGGAAACCATATATAACAGGCTCGGTAATAACAGGGGTCCGGTAATAACAGTGATTTTTAAAATCCCCCGTTTTCTCCTACTCTTTGTCTCTTTTAAAAGTTATCGGCAATAACAGGGCCTCATTGGAGCCCAATCGGTTATAGCAGGGACAAAGGCTTGTTAACAATGTGTAAAAAGTAAGAGAAAGAGAGAGAGAGAGAGAGAGAGAGAGAGAGAGAGAGAGAGAGAGAGAGAGAGAGAGAGAGAGAGAGAGAGAGAGAAACACAGTGATGGAGCAAGCTCACGCAAGCCATGCCACTGCGAGCACACTCAGCGTGTGAAGCGAGAGAAGGCTGCGGTGTGCTGCAGACCTCGATCTAGCCCGAAACCTAGCAACACACGCGCGTAATGTGTCACCAACGATGTCAAGTGCAAGAGAAAATGACTTTCAATTAACAAACATTACGAAATAATCCAGGCTGTTGACACAAAGCAAGCTCCACTGGCAGAGATTTGTCGTCAGTTCGACATTCCACCAGGGGTCGATTCACACCGTTATCAAGGATAGACATTGGCAGCATACTCCAACGGAAAGTTTGCTCTGGATCGAAAGAAGATGAGACTACCCGATGCCGATTCTGTGGACCAAGCTCTTCTGAAGTGATTTAAGGAGGCAAGGAGAAAATTGGTGCCAAAACCCCTGTTCGTGGGCACTTGTGGCAAGGGCAACTACCCATGAATAAGTACAGCTGGATTAGTCCACAAATGCTTACTTTCCTTGCATTTCTGATTTAACCGGGATCTGATATAACAGGACATTTTCTCTACTCCCACCATCCCAGTTATATCAGGTTTCCACCGTAGTTCTCTTTCCATTGAAAACCTTCAAAACGTATTTCAAACTTAAACACGGGAACTGCTTGATATTAACAAAGCATAAATAGAATGGAGATTTCCTACTAAAACTGAAGCATATATAATCGGTGCAAAACATGCTTATTGACACACAAAGTGGCAATTATTTTCTTTCAAAAAGTCCCTACCCTCTGCTCTTAAATTCTTTCAAACACTACTTTAGTGTACAGAAACGCTTACATACATTTTTGAACATTGTTCAGGGAATATCCAGTAATGTCATAGTCAGTGATAATCCCAGTTTTCATAATTTCACCCAAAAACACAATTTATAGGTGCCCCATCACCCTTTAAAGTGTTAACTAAAGATCAAATTGCTTTTGTCCTTCTGTGAGAGATATCTTAATACCAACGAGAGACACACTCAGAGAGAGAGAGAGAGAGAGAGAGAGAGAGAGAGAGAGACAGAGAGAGAGACAGAGAGAGAGAGACAGAGAGACACAAAGACAGAGAGAGAGACAGAGACAGAGAGGGAGAGAGGAGGGAGAGAGTGGAACAAAAACCGTTCAAAACATAAGCCTGCAACTCATGCGTTACAATGAAAACAAATAACACATACAAAAGCATATTTTATTTATTTAAAAGATTTATTAAGAAACTCTCAAACAGTACACATGGTTAGGTATTATCATAATCTTGCTGTATTTATTCTGGGTGGCAGTTTATTTTTTTATGAAAATAAGAAAGAAATGGAAAGTTTGTTATTTTTCTTCGGGTTTTTATTTTTAGATGATTTTCTTATATCAATTAATACTGAGTCTAACGGGTAAAGATTTCGCTCAATTTTCGATGAAATTACAGATTTTCTAGAAAGCACCTTTTTAACGCCTTAGATGATTGCTGATTCAGATTTGCTGGTTCATTTGGTTTAAAAAAATTGCGAAGATAGGTGAAAATTTGTCACAACGACCTCATCCCCTCTTGCAAAAACGACCACTTGGCCACTTTTACTCTCTTTTTTCGAGGGGGGGGGGTACTTTTTGTGTCTACTTTGTTCACTAAACTTCTATGTGTGAGATTATTCGTTACTGTACAGAAATGACATTACTTTGCACTTGATTAGAGATAATTTTGCATGTGATACTGGAACCTCTAGAAGGAACTGACTCTCAAATTGCGCAAATAATAAATCCGTTTTTCTCTAAATTTTATTTTTGAAAAACCCTATATCACTAGAATCCTAAAACCTCAGTTACTAATCAAGATAATGTTGAAACTTTTCACACAAGTGCAGATTTGCTTGTTACAGGTCACTGTCTACTTTTTTTGTTGGGGTTGTTGTTGTTGTTCTTGTTGTTGTTGTTGTTGTTGTTATTATTGTTGCTGTTGTTGTTGTTGTTGTTGTTGTTGTTGTTGTTGTTGTTGCGAAAAGAGTAAATGCCTGAGAAATCCGCTTTTGAAAGTCATTGTAAGCTATAAAAAAAAGTTTCAACAAAGCAAAATACTTCACTTTGAAAGTCCTAGAAATTCCAAAATATTGGAAGAATATTTAAACACATTAATCAGTTACCAATAACTATGTCTACTACATTGATATTTGTTTTAAAAAAGATTAACATTATGTCTTTTGGACTTTTCAAAATCTTAGGATTGTCCTAAATGTTATATAATTTCAATATGGCCACCGATATCGCATAACATATTGGGGTTCAAACTTGTACAATTTTTTTGAATTATTTCCCGGAGGAGGTTCTCATAATTACGTATTGAGTGTGCGTTCCTTGGAAAGTCCAGACTATTAGTAAGTCTCGAGGTTTGAAAGCAGCACTGTTTCACCTCGGCTTTAATTTTTGTTGTTGTTATGGATTCGATAAGTAAACGAGGTCAGAATGTGTGTCTCAAGTCTTTCATAATGTTTGTTGAAAATTAGTTGCTTATTTTACATTATACATACACTAATTTTTTTTTAAAAACATACAGAACATTCCCTATACATGTTATTCCATTTGCGAGCGCCGTAAAACCTCTACTAAAACTAAAATACATTATATTTCAAACCAGTATGTCGTTTTTTTTCCTGAAAAGTTGTATCTCTCTATGTTCAGGCTTATCTTGGTCAGATGGAGACATATAAAGGAAAAAAAGAAGAGGAGATAGGAACGATAGATGTTTGATAAGAAAGAAAAAAAGAAAACACACACACACACACACACACACACACACACACACACACACACACACACACACACTAAAACTTTCGTCAACCAACAACTCACTTATATGGCAAATTTGTATCGCAAGTGCCATAAAACTCATACGGAAAAGAAAACTAAGAAGCCCACTTTCGTAATAGTCAAAATTCTGGGGATGGGGGGCGTACAATGCCTACTTTAAAAATGACCTATAAGATTACGATGTGAAGTCAAAGAGTCTGTTTATGGTGCTGCATTAGTATGAGGTCTCAAACAACTGCTCAGTAACTTCTGTCTGTGGTCGAGAAGTTAACTCCAAATTACAAGCCACACACAGACCTACTTCATTACAGCGTTTACATTTACGTGTTAGAAACGCTGCAGATATCGTGTGGGTTTGGAATGTCCTTTAAAGCCTTAAATGCAGATTTCCGCACCATTACAAGCTACAAGTATAAATAGAGTGTGGCTGCTTCTATTCCCCTCCCAGCTATTTATTTCTTTTAGTTCCTTTTTCTCTGTCTGAGTGCATCTGTAGTTTCGAACAGGTCGGAGTAGATATTAAATTATTTTACTCTGAATTCTTCTAGACACAATATCTTTTGTCATTGGCCTTTTAATAACTTAATATCACCGTACACACGTTTTAATTTCTATTTTTCATCTCTCAAAGGACGCATTTCTCTTCCCATCCACGGATATTTCTATTTATTAAAGTTTTAACTTAGTAATGCTGCCAAACGCTACCTTTCACACTGTGCACCCTAGACATATTATCCAGATGAGACTCTCTAAAGCCGAGAATCGTCGCATTCATCCACTTAACAATAATACATTGTAATAGTTATGCCAATGTTTGGTGATGACCAATGCAAACTGCATAATATAATTATGTTTTCTTAAATAATGACAAATGAGACTAATTTGGCAGAGACATTAAAGTGTGTGTTTGTCATAACATATTATCCATTATGATGAGTTCCCTTCATCAAGCAAGCAACGTTGGAGGTATATTTTCTGTACGTTTGAAGACAAACAATACTTTTTAAAATTAAAAAGTGTTGCCATTAATACAAGAAAACGCAGTCTTAAACTTGCCAACTTAGCAACTTTTTTACTTCCCAGTAAATGAACTTGGTATTTTTTCCGAGTTTGTTTTTCTTCTTTCGAAGGACAGAAACGACTTCAGCTTTATTTAACCCTTTAAAATATCTCAGTAGAAGATAAAGAACACCAGAAGTAAACTTTAAAGCAACCCTCAAACGGTTTCTTTAAGAAATTGCTGTTTTACTGGAAGAAAGAAATTCCCGAGCAAAATAATTATGCTCCAACATTAAAACCTTGGGGGTTTTTTACCTCAAAATGTCGGATGTGCCAGTTTCTTAAGATAACAGCTTTTCTTTTTCCAAGGTCTGAGAATGTAGGGTTAAGAATCACCTCACGTACTAAGTAGCCCAGAGTCCAGATATGTCACAAGTGCTTGGCGTGAAACCTCGATCTGAAAAACTTCTATAAACTTACACTCGCAAGTCCACTCAGTCATATCTCCCAGATAGCCTCTCTCAGGTACTACCGACCGATTGTTCTTCCGGCTGTTTGATACCTTCCTTAAGTTGTATAACATTAAGTTGATGGACTAATTATTGTTTTTAATTATTTACCTTTCTGCTAGGATGTTTAATCCGTCTCAGCTCGGGTGGAGCCTGATAGGGCGTGATCGGAAATTCACATACCAAAATAATTATATAGATTGTGCAGATGGTGACGGAAAAGCACCCACATTAAAACAATAAATAAAATTTCCAGTTCCCTGTATTTCCCAGCATGCAGTTCCTGGCTCTCTGTCTCCTTGTGGCCCCTGTGGCTTACACTCTTGCTGCCCCAGACCCCACCACCATCTGCCTGCCAGAAAAGAGTACCATGCGCGTCTTTGGACTGATCCGAAAAGTAAGTATCTACAATAATAGTAATAATGATATAATAATGATGATGATAATAATAATAATAATAATAATAATAATAATAATAATAATATTGATAATAATGATAATGATCATAATAATAATAATCATAATAATAATAATTGATAACAATGATAATGATAAAAATAATTAGATGATGATAATAATAATAATAATAATAATAGTAGTAGTAATAATAATAATAATAATAATAATAATAATAATAATAATAATAATAATAATAATAATAAAATATATAATAATAATAGCAATAATAATAACAATAGTAAGAGTAATATTAATAATACTAATGATAATACTACTTCTAATAATAATACTAATAATTATGATATTAATAATAATATTGATAATAATGATAATATTCACATCGGTACCTCAGTTCTCTTTCTCCCATTTGACAAGGAATATTTTTGTTTCTGTAGTGCTTTTGAGAAGGGAGAGTGAATTTACACTTCAAATCGAATTTGAAAAAGTGTGGAAATTTGAAATGTGCCCTGAAGTGACCATTAGACATGCATTGAAATTTAATCTGGTTATCAACGTTTATTTCAGATCCAAGCAAACGTGTCTTCTGACTTCTCCCAGAACAAAATCGCCGAGGTCACTGAGCTAGAAAGGAGAGTGTTAGATCTCAACACTGTAAGCACGGGAAACAACTCTGTATTTTGTTCATGCTCTTGTCAAAACGGGTCCTGAAAAAAACTCTTTTTCATTGAAAACGTCGTATGCTTGAAAGCCATACTAAGTAGAACACGCATAGTGAAAATGTTAGGAATTTTACGGATTCGAACCGGTAGCTTCTGTAGAATGGTCAATTTGGAAACACACACTCTCACACACACACACACACACACACACACACACACACACACACACACACACACACACACACACACACACACTACACAGATCTCAGAAAGTATTCACTCTTGCTTTTCGTGAATTACTTTATTTCAGTAAATTAAATGATATCTATTCTTACAACTGTTACTGATCTCTCAATATGAAAACGTCTTTGACGCTACACAGAACAATATGATATTATTTTACTGTAGTTTCTAAGAATCTTTTGACAATTAAGGTGTACATTATTAATTGTTTGATTGTTTTACAGAACTACAGCTACGCGATTGACCCAACAGGTGCATGCACCAGGCAGCGTCTGCCTGTTCCCGGAATCATCACAAGATGTCTTCCACGTAAAGCATAGTGTTTATTTGTTTTACCTCTAACTGTTCTTTAAAAAAATTAAAACTCATTTTGAATGTTGCCATCATATTACGTCTTTTACTTTCTAACAAAAGCACCACTAACCTTGCCTTCTTGCTAATATTCATCCTAGAGATATTTACGTGATAAATTTTTACATCAACTCAAACTATTTTCTGGTTATTCAGTGATCTTTAAATAAAACCCTCAAATATACGTGTCTCTGAAATGATAAAACAACAATGAAGCAAAATTGTAAGGCAAAATATAATATTCTTTCCACTCTAACAATAGAACCTTAAAGTCTCTGCAATGCTTTGCCCATAATCATGAGACCTTAAACCAGACGTGGAAAAACCTGGCCTGCGGAACATACCCAGTTTGGAACATTTTCAGTCCAGCCTGCTAGTCGAAGCAGCAATTACGATTGAATGTGACCCTCGGTGTTCTGATTATTGAAAAAACCCACAAAAATATCACTCTTCAAATTAAAATGGATAGTTTTCGGCACATCTGGGTACGATAGAGCTAATAATATTGTCTTATCTCACCAAGTTGTCACGTAAAACATACTGCAGTGTCCGTTTTAGTTTAACTATTGAGAGCTTGGGTACTACAGACTTCAACATTGGTTAAGGACCACCTTGAGAGAGAGAGCCCTGATTTTTTGTAATTCGAAAAAAAAGACAGCAACAACAAGGAATGTTTCAAAATTGTTTGTTCTAAAAGTGTTAATGGGCTACCAATGCGTACTGCAAAGCTTCCTAAAGGGGCAAAACAGTCACGTACAACAAGGAAATCCTCGGGGGGGTCTTTTTTATCGCTTTGTGTGCGATACCACAGACATTCCTTAGTTACAATTTCTGGTGCACGCCATAAACGGACGTACGTTCTAGAACTGTGCTCATTTTTGTTTGCAATATAAGCCGCTGTTTTGGCAAAATCCAGTATCGCATCAACATGCCACAAAGACGAAAGCTGAGAGACTTTGATCGTGCCAGAGCTATTGTAAGCTGCAAGATGGAGTTGGAGCCTGAGAAATTGCTAGAAGGCTTGCAGTGTCACACTCTGTCATTGTCCGCCTGAGGCAGCGCCTTCAAGCCACTGGATCTGTCCAAGAACGCCGACATGCAGGTCGACCCAAGAAGACCGCTCCGAGTGTTTACTAGTGGTCCTTAACTTATGTTGAAGTCTGTAAATCAATTTTACTCAGTTCAACCTTCTCTATCATGCGAAATATTATTTGCAATTGTATAATCCAAAACGCAACTAGGACACACTGACAATGCCTGAATTAAACAAAATATATGTCCAACATTTTTTTCCATAACCAGACTTAGTCTTTTCTAGATCTAGATCCTTTTTTACTTTTGGTCCACAGCAAGCACCGTATTCCTTGGTACAGTCTTCGAGGGTTTCGTCAACAAAGTCAGCCTGAACGGTTGGCTGATCCCTGTGAACCAGGACATCAATGTGACTCTGTTGACGTACACAGAGCCTGGACAATCTGACTCTTACTTCGTGCTCAGGAGAGATGACAGTGAGTAGATTTTGTTGCTGTGTGTGTGGTAGCCTATCCGTTCGAAGTTTTTTGAGCCCTGAAGAGCGTGATCTTCGCCAGGGCCACCGCCTCTCTTGGTTTTTGTTACTGTTGTTTTGTTGTTGTTGTTGTTGTTGTTGTTGTTGTTGTTGTTGTTGTTGTTGTTGTTGTTCTTCTTCTTCTTCTTCTTCTTCTTCTTCTTCTTCTTCTTCTTCTTCTTCTTCTTCTTCTTCTTCTTCTTCTTCTTCTTCTTC